ATATGTTAATTCATGTTGCTTAGTTGTATTTCTTATTTAGAGAATGTAACACATGCATTTGTGCTTTGTCACTGTAGTTTCCGGTCTCCTAACTGTATTTATAATTCTCTTTCAAACACAGTGACAACGTGAATGTCACGGTCCGAGCGACAAATCGAGGACCCGTTCAGCAAATTGTGACTACTCTTTTAATTTAACTGTCCTCGACAAAATAAATTTTTCGAGGAGTAAGAACTTATTCTTTCACCATGCATCATCGAAAAACTCATCTTCGAGTTATTGTACGAATGAATAATTTAAAACATTTTTTTGACAATGTTCCGGAGGCCCTCCGAAGTGCGACAATTGCGATGATTTGAAGTAACCACTTAATGGGAATTCGGCACAAACATAACAAGAGCAGAGCAAAGCGGTTGGGAGTAATGCGGCAAACCATTTTCACAACGCCTACACAAAATAAGAAAGATCCGAAAAGAAGGAAAGTGTGTGAGTTCCGCATGAGCTTACTGAAGTTAATTAAAATTAACCAGTGGCAGCGTGTTTTTTCTTCTAAGTAAGCAGTGTAGAAAATCTTTTTTGACGAAAATCATCATGGGCGATGAGAAATAGATATTCTATGACAATCCGAAACGCAAAAAGTCAGAGGTGATTCCCAGCGAATCATCAACTTCGGATCGCCAAGCCGAAACGCTTCGAGAAGAAGGTTCTGCTTTGCACTGGGGGGATATCAAGGTGATTTATTATGAGATGTTGAAACCGGATAAAACAATTATTGCGGACTGCTACCAACGCCGATTAATCCGCTTGAGTCAAGAATTGGAACGAAAGCACCCGCAATACTGGCAAAAGAGAACGTTCTGTGAAATTACTGCATGACAACGGTTGCTTCTAATAAGACAAAAGGCATCATAATGGATCTTGGCTGAGATGTCTTGCGGTATCCGGTATATTCACTAGACGTAGCTCTTTCCAATTACTACTTGTTCCGATTACTATTTGGTCGATGCAACACGCTTTGTCCGATACGCTTTTCGAATCAGTGAATGAGTTACAAAAATGGCGTGATGACTTTCAAAGTCATTCAAATGATTGCGTTCAAAGATACAGCATTTTTCCGAGCAGCATTTTTTAAAACCGTACGTTGTCCGAAGGATGGCTTAAAGTTATAAGCCACTGTGAATACTTTGATTGAAAAATTTGTTTTAGTCCTTCTTTTTTTTTAAATAAACCTTGAATTTAGCTGAAAAAATTTGGATTATTCATTTGTACACCTTATATTTAAATATATGGATGTTACAGTAAAATATATACAGGTGTCTTAAAAATATGGGAACCCTTGAATATCTTTTTATAGTGAGGTTTTTCGATAAAACTTTCGAAACAAAAGTTGTAGGATTTCAAAAGTTGAATCTGATGGTGGCCTTAAACTTGACCTTAAGTTTGTTCTTGAAGGCCATTTCAAGGTCAACTTTATTTTTTCAAATGGAATATGCATATTTTCATGACGGATTCGGAATCTACGCCAAAAACTGAGAAGCTTTTGTCTGAAATATTTTTTCAGAAAATTCTCCCTTTGACCTTAAAATGACCTTCAAACTTCACGGTTTTTTTTCTAAATATGGAAACAATGCCACCAGCGGTTGCGCAATAGCAGATGCTTTGACTTCGAAATAACTTCAACCCTGATAGTCATCCTTACCCATGGGTCAAGGTTTCCATAAATCATATTAACTTACAATTTCCATAAATCATATTAACTTACAATGCAAACAGTGTGTCATTTCCTTCATACTATACACACACGATTTTGTCCTGTAAAGATAGAGCGTTATTTTGACTATGTAAAACTTGATAAATACCGTAATGACAGAAGGCCGTGTCCGCGATGTCGAGCGGATCCTTGAGCTTATCGAGAGTTAAATGTGTGAATAGTACATCATAGTATTCCATGGTGTCGTTTTCTGATGTCCACTCGATATTGTTCTGCCACTGCGCTTATCAGCCGAACTCGTTCGTGTCTTAGCAGAAACTGTCTTCTTGTTGAATTCATATTACACATTGTCGTTGTTACTTGTATCCAAATTGTGCGATATTCACGATTGTCGCAAGTCGTAAAACGCGCGCGCAATTATCGATTACTGACAACACGTGTTTTTCGCTATCGCGTATGCATAATTTTCGCGACTACATATACCACAAGCCGATAGCCCAGCTCTATCGATGTTTTCTCGTAGCAATTAATATTTATCATCGATATAACTATAATACTTTCTATCGAACTTCCCTGGTGGAAATTTAATACAATCCTCGAGCAGTTATCGAACAGTTATGTTTGTTTTATCTGATGACGGAAGAGTAAAACTGTTTTGGATCCCAATAAAGATATAACGCAATAACCTGTCATTACTGTACACAAAAGTTACGCAAAATCTGAAGCTGTTATTTTTTTAGCTGAATCGTTTGAACTGGTGCAAACTTGTGCAATAAGTTAGGGTGAAACAAAATATATTTGTTTTATATAAAATATATTTGTCTAATTTATTGCACCAGTGTACACCAGTTCAAATGATTCAGCTAAAAAGAACAAACCTATTTACTGTACGAAAACTAGACAAAAAATAGACACAAAAAGAAATGGATAATTCTTTTATCGTATTGAATAGTTTTCTATTCGATTGTTTAATAATTGATTCTGCTGTTCATAAAATGGACAAGTCTCATCTGGTAATGCTTAATTGCGCATGGATTTCTAATTGAAAAATTTTAATTAGCTTTTAATGCTAATGAGAATCATAGTACAAGAAATTTTGCTGCATAATATATATTTTTTCATGTTTCTCGTCTCCCACGTGACATTGTTCACAACTATGTCAAACAACATATACTCTTTTATCCATCTTTTTATCCATTCTTATAGTTGTATTATTTCATTGAATTCTGAGTCTAAGCTGTCATGACAGTTTTCATTTGATAGTATCATTAGGATGTGTTAGGATATCTTGATGTTTTCTCGTCGCAATGGAATTCTGTATTATTAACATATATTCTATTTGCTCATTTTCGTTCTCATAAACTTAGTAGTTATCTCTGTCACAGGGTTTAATATTGTCAAATGCCTTATTTCCTCCAATTTTTCTCTCCTTGCTCTGTGCTTTTATATACGTTTACTCATTGTTTTCATGTAATTTTAAGTTTTTTCCTAATGCATAATATAAATAAATATGTTTTTTATATTTATTCATGATAAATATTTATTCATGATATATTTATTACGATATATGCACGTTATAAAATTGAATTAATATTACTGATACTTGAAAAGAATCGGTCAACATATTGTACAGTAAACTGGTTCAACTGTTGAATCTAATTCTTATTTCCTACACGGCATTTGTACAATTGATGAGAATGCATTAATATTGGACAATAACTGAGCGGATGTCTATATAAACTGCATACATTTATGTGAAACGTGCTTCTTTTATCGCATTTCGTCTCCAAATCGGCGGTTTCGTGTGGTTCGCGTAGTATCCTCACGAAAGTTTCTCGCCTAAGGAGATTCTCGAAGAACGGAGTCAAGGAGTCGACTATATTTGTCCTTGTGGATCTGTAGTTGAGAGTTTTATGAATTTCTAATTATTTTTACTTTTCGCAGATGCTGCATGCGAGAGATGATCGTTCCTCGAATTCGTCCTTACGGAATTGTTGGTTTTGAAATCGACGTTTCAAACAGTTCGGACCGACGTTTATGAGCGCTCGCCGCTTTAAGAAAAAGGGATGAAGAGCCGAAGAGAAGCTGTAAAAATTTATTCCCAGACTGCTCGCCTGGAAGAATCGTTCGTGCGCGAAACGCGATGCGGTGACTCCGGAGATCGCAGTACCAATATTTAATACGTAGGATTATGCGCCATTACATTACATCGTCAATGTTATACTACATGCATCTGCGTTGTATGTTCTACTTTTCTATGTTCTACTTTTCTATTTACATGATTTTCGAGAAGAAATATCGTCAAAATCAAAATTATTCACATGCAAATATTTTTGATTTTATGTCACGACAACAACAATATGAATAACAACTATCAATATCACTGAAACTTCTTTGACGTTTCACTACTGACTACGCGACTGTGCAAGTAAACGTCACTTTTATAGCACCTAAAAACTGTTTGTTCATAATTTTTAATTACACATTTGCGAGTGTGTAACATATGACGCTGCAGTTGCAAAATCGTTTATTTTTTCCATTGTCATGCTCGTCGATAGAAACGTGTGGATATCAATTTTTTTATCTTTGTTCTAGGAAAATTGTAATTGATTGATTTCTAAACTGTGGAACTTTGGCGGATGATTTCTCCTTCTTAAAGATATTTAAAAAACCTCACAATGAATGACGCCCAAAAGCACCAATTACTATATATTTTACGATGGCAGAATTTATCTCGAAGCACTCAGAGCACAAAGCATCGCGTGTCATGTAACCAGATTTATGAAACTTGCGTTACACGCAAGCACGCAGCCCTCAGGGAGACCTTACGGAAGCCGATGTTCGCGAAGGTATTCTCTCGTCTAGCCGCTCGTGATTCTTGAAAGCGCTTCGCAGCGCGTGTCGCGAAATGATTGTAAAACTGCGGAGTGCTCGTGCGAGTGCTCATGCGTGCTGGCCTGCACGAAAGGGATTACACACGATGCGCGTGGTATCCTTGTACCGGTGATCTTTTTCGGCAGTTTTCCGAAAAATCGTAACATTGCTCTTCGAGTATTATTGAGTCGAGTCTTGTCAAGTATCGAGTGATATTCTGTTCCGATGAAATACTCCGTACTCGCTTTGCACTCAAAAGTTTGTCGCGATCCTGAAAATGGAAAAATTCTTCCTTTGCCATTTTTCTGGAAAAGAGTTCATATTTTCTCGCATAACGAGAGAGAGAGAGAGAGAGAGAGAGAGAGAGAGAGAGAGAGAGAGAGAGACATGGGAAGAAACAAATTCACACACTAGTGTTAGGACTTTAAAACGTAATTACGACCGTATTGTAGACTACTATTTATGATTTAACTTTTCCTCTTGGATGTAGTCTCTTGGATACGCCTCTAAGCGTCAATCAATTCGTCTGATCGTGTTTCTATGCTGTCGCTACGGCCGGCACGATTTTATTAATACCCGTGGGCCATGTTAGAGAGCGAGAAGATTCCCCGCGCTATGAGACGGCGCTGCTCGAGCGCCAAAAATAATCAGCGGAACACCCGCTTACGTAGGTAAACCTCACTACCGCCGGTTGATCCCGGTGGCAGACGCGAATGAAACACTGGTACAATCATCCACCGCAAACTTTCGGAAGATCTCAACCTTCGTTTCATTTTTTTTTAATCTCTGTTTCGTGCGATCGAAATTGATCGAAGTGGACAGTGTCGTGTTCTTGCATCGGGAACGGATCATCCGTTCGAGAAGAAGGAAGAAAACATAACAAAAGGAAGCAGAAAAGAGAAAAAGAGACGTGTCGAACTTCGTTCATGCCGACGACAGGTAGTAGCGATGAGCATTCGAGTGGTTCCTTATGAGATTTTATGAGCGATTCGTTTGTACTTTCTCGAGAATATCGTGCTCGTAACTGGAAAATCTCCTAGTTTGGACGAATCCCGAAGGTCACGAATGTTAACGCCATAATGTATATGTACATATTTACAGATATATGTGCACATGTGTGACACATATCTGTGATTTTTAACCACATATAATCACAGGCGTATTAAGTACATACATGTACGTGTACGCGGATTGTGAGAAATTGTAGTAATCATAATAAGTGTTAAAGGCAATTGTTTATACGACTGAAATATTTCGCTGTAAACGAATATGCACGTGTAAAATGAACGAAAAAAGCGATCGTACATGTTATCTCCTGGGAAATAAATTCTGAATCTATCGACGCAAAATGATTCGCGCGTCTAAGAGTAGTATTTTCAAATGCAAGTAGAGAATGGGGCTGACTAGGACTTGCGCGAATTCTGTTCTCATAGTGTCGATGAGTGAAGTTTAAACTTGCTTTTATTGTTAGAATTTGTAACCAAACATTCTCTCTCTCTCTCTCTCTCTCTCTCTCTCTCTCTCTCTCTCTCTCTCTCTCTCCCTCCCTCCCTCTCTCTCTCTTTCTCTCTTTCTCTGGGCCGTTATCAATAGTTAAACAAAACTCAAAATAATTTTAAACTTGATAATTCATAGAGACAAGATAACGATAAGATAGTTGCAATTAGTCGTTTGTCATGCATCAGGATGCATTCAGATTAATACACAATTAAATTGACTTAAATTAGTCTTAATTGTAAAAGTCGGAACGTTTGATTGACAATTTTAACAAGAGAGATGCTATAACTTTTGCTTATCGACGCAATAAGAATGACGTTAATGTTCTGATTGATCCCATTTTATATTTACAATTGAACATCAATGACTTTAACTTTAAGATTCAGAAGTTATTTTGATTTTGTTTGTATTATATAATATTGTTTTACATTTCTATAATATTTAATATAAGAAGGGCACGTTTTGCGACAAATTTTGTCACCTTTTCTTATACAAAGCAATAAATATTCTTTCGATTAACTATTAGAAAGCATTCATGGTCGAAGATACATTCGAGACTTTCAAAAACGTTTGTTTGAATTCGATATTTTCGAGACTCAAGCATCGCGGAACTTTCCGGTCCAGTAAGACTTCAGTTTTGAGCAATATCCGGAACGAGTCGTCAGGACTCGATACAAAACGCATTCGATGTGTTTTGAGCCTATCACTGACTACAGGTCGATGTCTCGTCTTATACCTCATGCTGATGCCCGGCGTGTGTCTGGCCAAAGATGCGCACATGTGAGTTTCACATAATGATTCATTATGCAACACGAACACTCAGATTCGTGTGTACGCATGTGCGTTTCATGAATGTTCGAAAAAATAAGAAGGTTGGAGTCACATGACATTTGAGAGTCTCATGACCGTTGTATTAACTTTGCTAGAGAACTGACTCGGCTGTTTATAATATATATCTATATGTATATATGTATTATACATTAATATATTAAATAGCGGATTATTATATATTAAATAGCGGGCCACCTTATTATCTGTTATTAGGATAACGAGGCACAAACTACGTCAATACGAGCGAATCTGAGTGCTTGTATTTTGAAGAAATAGAAGAATCTTAATGTTTTGATAACCTCAGTTCTCATAAATATATAAGATAGATTTAGCATATCATACATTTAGCATATCATCCGTTAGATTAAAACATCGGTGAATTTCTGTTCTTTGTTGCGGGCGCATTAATGACATTAATGACTGGCAAATGACAATGACCCAAATCTATCATGGGATCTCTCACATAATCACATGTAAATTTTATCCCATATATTCTTTTTGAAACATTTTGCATTTAACATTATTTATTTAAGTAAAAATCAACACAATTGGACTAATCTGAAATTGGACTTTTATTAAAAAAATGGAATAATTTACTTAAGCATATATGTTCTTAGACGAGAATCTATATAGCCTGTTATTTCTGTCAAGAGACGATCGCGTCTTTCTTTCCCTATGCAGATAAAAACGGAAAAAATTGTCTATATTTTGTCTCCCTTTTTGTTCTGCAAAGAATATGCGTATGCTGAATTTATCTTGTCTATATTTATGTCTCAGTCGTTAAAAGTTTCTTGCATTTAAAATAAGAAAAAGTAACTGCGCAATAAATTACGGGTTGACTTGTGTAGTGTGAATAACTTTTATTTCACAAGAAGATATAATGTTTGAACGTGTGATAATGCATGTAGAACGTGGTAAAATGAAAGAAACGATTAATGCGTCTCTCAATTTAAGCTTTGTTAATTGAGGTATTAAGTATTAGATTTTATTGACATCAAAATAATTGTAGAATTCAGGATTTTATTTGACGTGGAAAGCTGATGTATGCACACTGCGTACGTTGCAAAGACTCCGGACGGGAATCCGGCGTCTATGTTATCACACGTTCAAACATTATATCCTTTCGAGATTTAAATAAAAATTATCTGTACTACATCCGCGTTTAGCCTCTTATTATCCGTATTTTTTTCCTACTTTAGGTTGTATTTATAGGAATAGATACAAGTATATCTACAAAAGTGTTTACAAGATGTATCTGCAAGAGCAGAAAATACTGTTTATATAATATTTATTTCTTACTTTGGTCTGTTAGCTCGCGTATGCATCAAGCGTTATGAGGGTCGTTTCATAAGTTTGATAAATTTCTATGAGATAATGCTATAAAATCCAGCATGGATCCAGCATGATGTTACATACCATCGAGGAAAGAATTCATAGTATGGTTACGAAAAATCGCCGGGCGAAGGTGTGTGAGATTGCTAAGATCGTAGACATCTCGACGGAATGAGCGCATAATATTCTGCATGAAAAATTGCACATAAAAAACTGTACGCTACTGTACGGTACTGTACTGAACTGTATGGGTTTGTTGACTCTTGATCTGAAAAATAAATGGCCAAAATTGACGCGTAAAAAAGTGCTCTTCCACCAAAATAACGCGCTATCTCACAGTCGACCGTCACAATAGCAAAATTACACGAATTGAGCTTTGAATTGATTTCTCATCCATCCTGTTCTCCGGATTTGGTCTCGTGAGAGACTTCTTTCTGTCCCCAAATTTAAAATTTAAAATTTTTTCTGGCTCGGTGGGAAGAAATTCTCGTCGAATGAGGAAGTTATTGTCGCAGTCAATGAGTATTTTGCAGGTTTTGAGACAGCTTACTTTTCCGATGGTATTAAAAAGTTGGAAACTCGCTAGACCAAGTATATCACCCTCGATGAGGACTATGTTGAGAAGTAAAAGCGATTTTTTTTCTAAAAAATGTGTTTTACTTGCTTTCTTACTAGACTTATCAAACAACCCTCGTACATATGCTTTACCTTTTACTCGCGATTTCTTTTTATCTTATGTGTATGCGTGTAATTTTAGTTATAAGATTAAGGTATATATGTCAATAATATCAAACTACAAACAAATTTCTCTTTTAGCGTCGGCAGGTGGGCGGACAAATTAGGCACCGAATTATGGGAGCTCGCGAACGAAGTGGGTCGCCCAGAGGAATTACTGGAAGTGAGTATGTATACATGTTGTTTGAAGTAAGAAACAACAAGGCGGAATTTGTGGCGATGCTTTTGTGGCGATGCGGACATCAGACTCGAGCCGCTGATTTTGCTTGGTTAAATGAAATAGAAGTGTTCTCTATATATCACTATTATTATTATTATTTATATAAAGCTAACCCCGAATATTAGCCTTTAAGGTTAATTCTTGCAATGTTATGCTCAATGCTCTGTACTCTTTAATAACGAGCTTTCTGATAATTGCATTCAAGATGCGTCACGTGCAACTTGAGGAGAGTTGAAATTCCGAAAGAACGTACGAGTTTTGGGCGGTTAATGATTTTCAAACGATAATCTTACAGGAGAAGTTGCAATGTTAATGCAACGTTACAAGGTAAATTCCAAGTACATCAACTAGAGAGAGCTTTGCTTCTGATTAACAAATGACAAAACGTTGTGATTAACATTTGACAAAAGGAAAGATCTCAAACAGCTGTGCCGCGTTCGACTAGACATTCGCAGTTGTGACATTATAACTACTTTATTCATACTCGAAATCACATACCGTGACTGCAAGACGCAGGATGAAAACGTTCTAAACGCACGATGCTGATAATTTTTACAGAGATACAAAAGTATGAACACGCGGGTGGAGGATAAATCCGGCGAAGAGCTGGTCAGTATAATCAGCGAGAACGTGGGTAGGATGCTGCGTCGTAAGATGGACGCGGTTACCTGCATTCGAATGAAAGCTGAAGAGATCGCGGAGGAATGGGATCTGTCGTCTATGGATGGCAACTTCACTTACGTTTCCAGCAAGTACAATATGATGAAAAACCACCAATATGATGAAAACACCAATGCGTACAGGTGAACGAGTATCTAATATTTATTGTGCGTTTTTCCTTTTCGAGTACATGACGCAAGCGAAAATGGATGCGGAGCCACAGAATTATCTTCATCGAAATTTTGAGAGGAGGGAGGGATTCAACACACAAACTAATAATTAATATAACTAATAACTATAATTAGTAAAACACATGTAAAGAGTGGGAGATTGTATCGATAAACTTTGGTAAAAACTATAGAATCTTATGGAAACGAAATAATGAAACCCGATATATTTTCTACGCTAATATTGTAAATGATTTGAATGATCGTCTACGAATTAATTGTGAGAAGAATTTCGGATTGATCTTCAAAGTTACGATAAAACATACGATAAAACATAACAACGCTTCGTGCACCTTAATACAAGCTTTCGCTAAACTATCAGAACTGAATCAACTATTCCTTTAACACTTTATTCGTATGTAATTCATGTTAAGATTATTATTTTAATAACGCACGCAAGTCATTACACACACATACATATACAAAAATGTCTAAAAGTTCTGGGCCGACAAGATATCTGTGTGGAAAATAAAATATTTTAGAAAAGTATAAATTATACGAAATGTTAAATATGAAAATTATTGGATATCAAGCGACACATTAGATGGGCATATTAATTAAACTCTGGGTTGTCTTCAAGCACTCAGGTAAAGATTACTTAAAATTGTTTTAGTGAAATTCTCTATGTTTTATTACATATTCTCATAGGTGCTGTTAAGATATTTATGAAACACTGATTACAAATTTTTTTCTGAGATGATCACTTTTTGAGTTATGAGTCCTGTAAATTGAAGTATCGCCAGCATTAGCATTATCCAAGATGTACCACGTGAAGATTACCTTTGTACGTCTTCTGTGTATCACGCAGATGTATTGCCGACTTGGGGGGACTTTTTGAACACTCTATTATATAGTAGAGATTCGTCACACGTTCCATCAATATTGGAGTAAATTTACACGGAAGGAAGAAATAGTTAAGGATCGAACGTAGAAAGTAAATTCAAGCTTAGATAATCGACGTCGGGAATCTTTCGATTCCAGGGAAATGGAACTGACTGCGGACTCGCATTTCTACAATATCCCAGTGAACACTAGTTACTCGTCGGTCCATATACCCACTAACGTGTTTGACCATGCGCCAAAAGTGAGGGAGGACATAATGAGAAGCGAGTCGTTGGACGACATATTCCGTCAGAATTATGAATCCGACCCGGCATTATCTTGGCAGTACTTTGGCTCGGTCACTGGTATGTTGAGACAATATCCCGCCATGGAGTGGCGCACGAGTACGATCGACAACGATGAGGATGCGCCTGCCGACTTGTACGACTGTCGGCTTCGCAGCTGGTTCATCGAGGCGGCTACATGCAGCAAGGATATGGTGATCCTTATGGATACTAGCGGCAGCATGACGGGCATGGGAAAGACGATCGGTACGTGGGAATGTCTCCGGAGAATATTAATATTAAGAAGTTGAAAAAGCTTTGAGAAGAAGTTCCGAAATAAATATAAAGACTTATTAGTCTCTTTCTTATTAATTTCCATTCCGAATATTGTTATCTCACATGAGCAAAATGACGATGTTATTGCCGACAGCGAAGACGACGGTCAGTTCGATCCTGGACACCTTGTCGAACAACGACTTTGTGACGTTACTAAAGTACAGCAACGACACGAGTGACATGGTACCGTGTTTCAAGGACATGCTAATTCAGGCCACCCCGGAGAATCTGGACACGTTCAAAAAGTCCATGGACAACGTAAAGACGGAAGGCGTCGCCAATCTCACAGCGGCTTTTACCGCGGCGTTCAGTCTACTTAAGATCTACAGAGAGACACGTGGATGCGATGCCGACACACCATGTAATCAGCTCATCATGCTCGTTACAGACGGCGTTCCCGGGAACCTAACGGAGGTGTGTATACATATGTGTAATGCGATGCTTTTGAGTCTCCTGAGTGAAGAGACTCTGTCAGTAAGGGTACAAGTGTGACTTAAAACGAAAAGAATTGTATAAAAAGAGATTCATAACACACTTGAATTTGCAATGCTACTCCGCTTGTACTTTTGCATTACGTATTTCGTGACGAGACCTCTGAGTATCACTCATAGGACAAACCAAATTTCCTCTTTCTCTTCTGTTCGGAGATATTTACTTTCGAGTACAAATAATAAGTTCGATAAGTGGTAAAGTGATTTGTCGATCGTATCCTACATCATGAATAACGTATTACGTGAATCAATATGTTATACATGACATGCGTGAACGAATTTGTCGAGACACTACTTGACAAAAACTGTCGGAGATGCAATTTTTCTTCTTTTCCACACTCGTTCGTCTCGGTGAACCAAGCGCTGAAATTGAGCGAGACGAATCAGAGCACATCAGAGCGGACGAACTCAACGAGAGAATTAGCATTTCCATTCCGCTATAATTTTGCTTCTCTTATGTTTCTTCTGTACTCATCGGCTATTTGTCACAATCGTGTATCCTTGAGCGAGACACAATAATTAATTTTGGTCGGACGTGTATAAAATTTGTGGCTTGTAAATATCATGATCAAACTAGATGTAACCCAGCAATGTTGCTACATGGCTAAAGCTCGTTGATCATTTTAACGCTTGTTCCTGCTTCTGAGTAATTTATAATTTATAAATAAAAAAATAATTTTTAAACTCGAGAGAATTTGTCTGCTCGTCTTTGCGTTTACATAACGATTACGGGCTTTGCCCGCTACAGAATAACATATAAGTACATGTGATATATAGGATGTCCCGAATTCTTCTCCGCAACGTTGGTGGGAACATAGAACGATTTAAAGTGAACATAAAAGTGCGATACCGTTTTGCGATATTTGCAATAGATATTAATAAAAAACAATTGATGAATGATCACGTGTGATATGGTAGATGAGCTGTAGTGGCGCCGTCTGCCGTTGGCTATATTTCGGATCGAACAAAAAAGTCCTCTCTCTACTATTTTGCAAATGACTATTTTTAGATATTAATTGAAGAAGATTTGTGTATCACTCTGTATTCAATGGGAAAATATATCTTCTGAGAATTACTAAAAAAACAAATTCTCTTATTGAATGCGTTACAAAATTCATCGAGAAAAAGTGTTGCAACACTTTTAATCAGCCGACACTGTAGGTGTGCGCTTTCCGTTACTCGCTTTCTCTTTCGCGAGTTTTTTCTCGCAAAAATAACGAAGACGATCAACTCACGAATCTTTTCTTTCGAGGGTAATAATTGCGCACTAAGCTGACGGAAGATCTTGAACGGTGTAAGAGGTTTTGTACGTTGTAAGTAAAAAATTTCGTATTTTACCCGCGTTTTAGAATTGGCAAGAACGATTATCTTGCGAAAGAATCTTAATGTTCGCTCCGTCGAGGTAAAACATGGAGACATGGTCGACCTTGGTTTATGTCTTCTAACGTCATCTTGTATCTTAACGACCGAATAATAAATTGCATTTCCCAAACGCAATTTACGAGTTTCTTCTTTGCAACAGAAGACGTTCGCGTGTCGTGAAAATGTGTATTTTTACGGTTTCGTCTAGCTACTTTAGGTATTTCTTTATACGGGATTCAACACGGTAACTCGAAGTAAGGTAGCTCGTTCGGAGCAAGAATGCGAACTGAACTCGTGTAGAGTAATTTCTAACTGTTAAGGGGATGCTGAAGTTAAAAACATTACTGACAGAATACCGATCTATTCTACAAAGTTTACGTCGTATTGGTTACGCAGAATTATAAATACTTTTACACGCAATGAAAGTATGTGCAAAAGTAAATAGGAGCATTACTCAATATGTGATGAAAATAAAAAAATAATTTTAAATGTAAAATCTGAAGCCATCAGTTAGCGTAATATTTGCCTAATCCAAAAGTTCCGCAAATAGTATGTACCGAAAGTGGATGCTCCAAACAGAAAAATTTTTAAAAATATTTTTAAATTAAAAAAAAAATATATATATATATATATACGAAATAGTGCGATTATGTTAGTGACGATCGTCTCTACGTTATCATTACGGCTGCGTTCCGAAATGCACTGCCAATACTGAAAATCTATAGTTCATGTTACGTATATTGTAGAATTTCAGTACTGGCATTTTTGGAACGTAGCCTACGTTGTTTGAGTTCGTCATCGACTTTAGTATTCTCTTAATTCTAATTCATAAGAATCGGAAAGATCGCTTTCTGAGAAGGAACGAGGCGGTAGGCCATCCGATGCTTCATTCAGAGTTTCTATCTCTCTCAACAAATCGGATGTTTTGATGTGGCAACTGAAAAACAGGATTACTTGTTCCCTTCGTAAAGAATGTTACAAAGAATGTAATCTCGCCCCCCCTTTTCCTGCAGGTGTTCCAAAAGTGGAATTGGAAAGAGAACAGCACTCACATACCGGTACGCGTGTTCACGTATCTTCTGGGCCGCGAGGTGACAAAAGTGCGGGAGATCCAGTGGATGGCGTGTCTGAATCGCGGGTACTACAGGCACGTGCAGACGCAGGAGGAAGTGCGCGAGCAAGTACTCAAATATATCCCGGTTGTGGCGCGTCCGTTAGTACTTCAGGGCGTGGTGCACCCGATCGTGTGGACACATGTATACGCTGACGTCACGGTAGGAAATTTCCAAAACTGTATTTTAATTTGAACTGTTTTTATCTCGATTCTTTTCGCGATTTCGCGGATTGTCAAATTTGAATTTGTGCCGAATGAAGATCGCGCGATCTTTGGACTCGTTGAACTCGTTAATGCCTCTTTGAGAGGTGGCGCGCTTTGCGCGACGAGTTCGTGAGCAACAAACAAATGTATCGCATAATTGTCAGCTGATATTTTATTTTAAGCATGAATTGATTGAGAATATCCTATCCTTCCTTCCCTTCCCCTCTCTCCCTATTGGAAAATTATAATCACGATTTCAGCGGACTTTGTGTAAAAACTACCAAGTAAACACCATCGCACGACCTCTTCTCATCTCTTCTTTCTTGGTAAGAAATTCGTACGGCAATGGGGATACCAATAACGATTAACAATTATACAACGAAAGAAAGATTGACAAATTCCCCGAACAATCCGTCCGTACTTTTTACGTTAAATTGTGCGCTCGTGCAAAGTTACCGTTAGTTTACTTACGGTCTTAACAGAGACCACAGACGTTGTGTACGAAACGATTTCTGAGACGTAGGAAAAATAGCACGTGGCTTGCGTGCCGGCGATGCCGTAGTGGTGAGTTAATGTAAACGTACGTGAAATTCCAATCAGAATCCGGCGCTTGCCGCTTGGCTGTGGATGGTGATGAAGCAAGAGGAGCAAAATTCGCGGCTGCAAAAGCATCTGAAGGGAAAACGACTGGGCGTGCGAGTTAACGAGGACGCGATCTACATACAGCAGGTTGAAAACGATCAAGAGCATCCCCGCACTGTGTCTCTCCCAGGCTTTTCAGGCGTTCTGTTTAGAATTTGTATCGCAACGTTCCCTCCCCCCCTCCCCCTTTCCCTGCACTCCCTGGCGCACGTTGCTATAATTCCTCGAATACCAAATGGAGTACTCAAGAAGTACGCAACATCGGGATGTTGAAGTGATCGTCGTGAGCTTCTGAGAAAAGCTTTTCCGCTGACGTAAATGACGGATTTTACCGGATCCTTTCTCGACTATAGACACGCATAATAGAAAAGATTGCACTTTGGCGACTAGTATGGCATCGTCGATGAAACAAGATAGAATAATTCTACGCGGTCGTACTAACGCTATAATATGTTCTTTGTTCTTCTCTTTTTTTTTCTTTCTTTTTCTTCTTTTTTCTTAAGAAGAAGAAGCAGTGAATTTTCTAAAGGCAAGATTATTATTACTAGAAAGAATTATGTGATTTCAAATCTGTGCCCGACTGCTGATTCTTTTGATGACTCTGCTTGGTAATTTGTCAGAGATCAAGCGAGGTAATTGTGAAAAAATAATACCTTCGGAAAGAATCGGATATTATCCAACGATTATTGTACAAATAATATTATTGCTTAACGACTCCATTGTAAGAGTCAACATGATATTTTTAAGGAAAACGTCTCACAACATTTATCCGAGGATCTCTCTTACCTCGCTTGACTTTGAGACCAAAAGCTTAGTTCCCTGGAGAAATTGGCCAGTTTAGTACGCTCGAGTGTCAACTTGGAAAGCTGGACGAACATACACCTTGCAAATAATTAATCGCTAGGCATCGCTAATCGACTATATTTACCGAATGGCTCACGGCCAGTCGGTTGTCGTTAGTTTGCCGAGGACATGATCCTCCTGAGAATTAGGTATAGCGCCGCTGTTGGCTGGGCTTCGTCGACATCTTCCTTTCATTTTACTTTCGTCACACGTCGCACTTCTGCTAGAGATTGGTGTTGTGTAAAGTGTTCAGAATCAAGCGGAGACGAACAGAAATTCGATACTTTGGGTGTAACATCGGGTGGGGTTAGAGGAGTTACGTTAGATTAGAATATATTCTTAGAAATCAAAAGAGACTTTTTCCTTCACAAATAATTGATTATACTATACGCCATATCTTTTTCATCTGTACTTCTCTTTCCCTTCCGAGAAAGAGAATTTGCGAACGATATATGTCTTCCGAAAATAATACATAACCTCTTCTACTTTATTATAACATCATTATACATTTACTATAACATGCAAAACGTCTTCTACATTTGTTATAACATGTAAAACTGACATGGAAAACTAACAGACCACAATTTTGCTTCAATCTTATAATTACAATATATAGGATATCAGATGATAATATATATATCTGTCATGTGTATGTAGATTGGGTCGCATTGAACAAAAAATTCTTCCAATATTTTGCGTGAACAACCATGTAAAATTTTGAATTATTAATTAAAGAATATAGGAAAAAAATAATGGCATATGATAGGAGTGCGAGAGGAGTGCGGCGTTTGAATCGCGCTGATCCACGCTGGCATCCACCCCTATCATCATCATTTACCGCTACATAACATCGAGCAATCGAGCGTCGAGCAACGAGAGGCTGGCCACGGCCAACAGCGATCAGCGTGGTACAAATACCGTCTCTACCGCACTTTTCTCGCCGTATCACATGCGATTATTTTTTCCTATCAAGCGCCGTGGTGCGGCGCGACACCGAGTACGTGTCGAACAAAACAATGCGACCGTGTAAGCTTATCTGGAATTTCTAGGTCGATTGGTCTTCCGAGTCAAATATCTCAAAACTATAATCGAAAATCTGATAAAAGTTTTCTTATATAATATTTAGCACAAATCTATAGCTTTGTAATATTTAGCGCGCGCGTATTTTGCACCAAGTTTGATTAAGATTGGTGCAGGCAATACGGAAATATCAAAATCTCTCTCGCTAAAAAATCCTTTTATTTTCGCGCAGATTCTCAGATTTTTCAGATTCAGATTCACACGTATGCACGCACACAAGCGAATGAGTTTGTCCATCAAGCCGCGTTTGCATCGCCAAGCGATCTAGCTTCAGATCACACGTATACGCACGCACACAAGCGATGCGCGTTTGCCGTCAGATTGCATTTGTAATATATATAGGCTGCAATAAGCAGCATATATATATATATATATAATGATTGCCTTCGATTCATGAATGTACGCTAGAGGAAAGGATTTATGATCGACCATCAGATGTACATATCAAGCTGTATTTATAATTTCACGTACATTTTCTTATAGTTTTATATCAATCTGCGCTTGTGACGTTCGCGATCCGCATAGCAAACGTGTAATCTGAATTTGAAATTAATTGGCGAGACAGAAAAGATTTTTGTAGATCAAATATTATAAAAATTTCCGTATAGACTGCATCAGTCAGAATGGACGCATATTTCGTGCGCAATAAACATTAAATCGATCATGTATCTTTTCGCCTAGCGTAAATTCGCAAATAAAATAGAACAATTTCATCGATAAATTCAATAAAGTTCAATAATTACTACTGATATTCACTGCCAGTACTGAAGATCTATAGTTTGTGTCGTGTATACGTATTCAGAATTTCAATACTGGCAGTGAATATTGGAACGCAGTCTGCGAGTTCACATTAGAGGAGAAAATACATTACTACACAAAGAAAATTTTATAGTAAAATGTGTTACAAGTTTAGAGATCCAGTCAAACCATATTCTATTACTTCAATTGCCAGAAAATTTGGAAAAACCATATACTTTACAAGAATTAATAGAATACAATTTTACAAGTTGAAAAGTAGTGAAAAAATATGTATAATACTTATTGTGGAGAAAACTTAATATAATAGAGAAAAACGAGATAATATTATAATAACAAAAAATATCTTTATTTTAAAATTATAGTTATTTAAAACTGCTAATAACAAAACGTTTAAAGTCACAAATTTAAAAATTAAAGATATATCTACACCAAAGATACGTATAGGCACAGATATATATATAAAATTATTAGTGTAATCTTCCACAATGGTGAAAGTATAATTAATGGACATTATACAAACGTAGTAAGCACACAAAATGGATTTAAATTAATGATTCCATCCATTAATAAAAAACGCTGTTGGCCACGAAATTCCAAAGATGCATACATTTTCTTTGCTAAAAAAGTAACGTAATGTAATTTGTATCTAAATAATCTATTCAAAAAGCAGTGAGATCGTAACAAACAGTCTTTACAAAAGAAAATGCCGAGTACGTATTAAAACAAAAACTACAAAACGAAAAGTAGATGTTAACTTAAAGTATAGATGCTTTAAGTTAATTATAATAAAAACGAAGTAAGATCAATATAATAAACCAAGTACGTATATGTAAGTATTTATTACACAAATAATTAATGTGATAAGTATCAATAATATTAATAATTAAAGGCTGAAATATTCAAGTATCAAATTGAGAAACACTTGAGAACATCAAGGATCAAAAACTCGGCGTGTCCCAATTAATATATCATTCTTCAATATAAATGTTTATAATGCTACTAATAATTTTATGTACATTATTAAAAAGAAAATATATATGAGGCATTCTTCGTCAAACCGGCCAACCCTTCTGCCAAAAATTTGTATGGATCGATTGAGGTCAACCGGGGCTCAAATTTTAGGTGATCATGTCTAGTGTCGTTTGCCATCTGGCCTTTTGAAGAAATTCATCATGGCGGCTCTAATATGGCGGCGGAAACTGGAAAAAACGATGGAAAAATTCGTACTTCCTATACGCCACACGATTACTCAAATCGACTCCAAAATGATCAAGAAGCCAAGATTCTTAAGGTCGCTGATTACGACTTTAAGACATTAAATGCATCCTTTATGCATTTGCGAATCAATTGAGATCTTCTAGAGTATTATCATTAGATTCAGCAATAAGCGCTCTAAAGTTAGTAGTTCTCAAAGCGATATTCAAAGCTCATCTAGAACGCCTCTTTAATCTTCATTTACTTTACTTCTTTCAAGGAAATTCGTACTCCTTGAGGAGCATTGGAGTGCCGTTTTATCAATAATGTTTTCTCTGACAAAACCGTAAAAAATGACTTTTCGAAATATCAGGTATTGGTATAACCCTTTGGAATCTTCTGTTCAATTTTCTAACCGTTTTATCATGTTCGACTTTACTGAAGTAGAATACTTTAATTGTTTTGAAATGTTTCTGTGCCCAACTAATTTCACATCTTATGTAAATTCTCACTTATGTGCATGCACCTGTACCATTGTGTTGTACCGTATCTGAGCGCGCGTACTTTAGCCAATATAATTGGTCAACTTTAATCGTTTATAATTTGAAAAGTATTATAGCCTCGACATTTTAGGATTTTTCTCTTCAAATTACTTCAGGAATCCGTCCTTAAGAGATAATGCGGTAGTGGCGGGACCCTGTACATATATATATATATATATATATATACATTCACTATGAGGAAATCTATATTAATGTTTCATGAATTCAAAACTGTGTGTCGCCGTATATAGAAATGACTTTTCTATGTATGAATATATTTATAAGTTTATTTATGAATTTATTAATTGGAGTACGCCGAGTTTTTGATCCTCGATGTTAAGTTTTTCTCAATTTAATATTTGGATATTTCAGCGTTCAATTATTAATATTATTGATACTTATCATATAATTATTTGTGTAATAAGTACTTACATATACGTACTTGGTTTATTATATTGATTTTACTTCTTTTTTATTATAATTAATTTAAAAAATCTACATTTTAAGTTAACATCTACTTTTCGTTTTGTAGTTTTTGTTCTATCTTCTTTAATCAATAATTCAAAATTTTAACTAATCGCTTGCGCAAAATGGTAGAGGAATTTTCTGTTCGACCCAATCTACATGCACACCACATATTTATATGTTAACATCCTGTTATATTACAATTATAAAATCGGGCCAAAATTGTGATCTGTCCATTTTACATGTTATAATAAAGTAGAAGATATTATGTGTTGTTTTCGGAAGATATACCGTTCGCAAATTCTCTTTCTTCGGAAGGGAAAGAGAAGCGATACAAGCGAAAAAGATGTCGCGTATAACATAATCGATTCTCGCGAGATTCCGTTTGATCCCGCAACAAGTTTTGTGTACCACTGCGACGTTAAAACGCGACAGAAGGCGAATCAAGTAGCGATCACGTCCTTCGCTTGTGTCCTGCCCTAGCGACTCCATTTAACCGAGATCGCAGACGCAAGTACGAGCCGCGTCTCGTCATCAATCTTCCACTATTGCATTCACCGTTATCCACGGAATGACCTTTCCATAGTTGCACAAGGACGAGGACATTAAGGAGGATCCGTCCACTCTGAATACCACCGCCTGGCAAGAGTACAGACTGCTGACCTCCGTTGGTACGCCTGTGTTTGACCGCAAGGGCAATCGCAACAATGAGAGGCGCGTGGCGAATCTGCTCGGCGTGGCTGGCACGGACGTGCCGATCGACGACATCCGCAAGCTCACCCTGCCGTATAAGCTCGGCGTGAACGGTTACGCCTTCATCGTGTCCAACAACGGCTATGTGATACTGCATCCAGATCTCAGGCCTGTCTACAAAGGCCGGCTCAAATTGAACTACAATAGCGTTGATCTCACCGAAGTGGAGATACTCGATGATGGCCGCGGGCCTAGGTAACGTCGACGCTTACGACATCGCGCTATTACAGTGAGCACCTACCAGTCCCAGCTACCCAGTAGAGAAGATACTGTCCTATCGAAATTCTCATTCGTCGGGGGGAACTCATATTAATCATTTCACTATGAAATTATAAAATCGTGAGACGAACACTACCCTCTTAGTATGTATGTACGTGCGACTGTAGTCATAAATGTGATGAAAGCCTATCTTCGGAATGAAACTTTATTCAAGATTAACGTGCGCGATTCGATCGATAGGTCTAGTCAATTTATAAAATTTTTAACGTTTGCACGAAAGAAAGATCGATTTTCGAATCTGTTCTGTCTTGTTGTCACACATTTCATACATTTACTTTTTCAAAATGAGCGCAGGAATCCAGGTCCGGAGATATTGGAGCTACGATCGGCGCTGGTCGATCACAAGCGAGGTAGCATGAGAGCAGTCCCCGTGAAATTACATTACGACGACAATCGTCGCGTGACTCTCGAGAGGCGCGACTATTTCTATGCGCCTTTGCCCGGAACACCGTTTGGTCTCGCAGTCGCCATACCCCATTACGGAACAACTTGGATCAAGGTCGAACATTCGCCATATCTAGAGTGTAGAAAATTGCCTGAGATGCAACTCTGTAATCACACGCGCACGCATAGTAACGAAATAATCGCACGTTGAATTCGTTTAGGTTGGAGACGAGATCCGCCGGAATCAACACATGAATGTGAATGTGTCCGACTTCTTCGAGGGCGATCATTGGCGCGTACATCCTAGCTGGGTATACTGTCGCTACCACTATCTCGAGGGTCACCGGTTCGACAGTCCGGAGGACGAGTTGCGCCACTTTTTGGCGTTGCTGAGTCGACCAGGATGGCGATGGGCCGAACAATACGAAGCTTATCCGTCAGTGGACGAGAACGTGGGTGAGGAGGACCTGGACGACGCCGATTGTGGCAGACAGACGCTCTCGCACGAGGATTACTATTGCAACAAAGAGCTCATGCAGCTGCTGGTGTTCGACGCCAAGGCGACCAACAACAGCTTTCGCGGGGACTATGTGGAGGGTCTTCCGACTAAGGCGCGGGACTTGGCGCGGCTCTACGGTATTTTCCTGCGCTTCATTGCCACGCAAAGCGGCCTTACCAGATGGCATCATCTTCACACCAATGAGCTTCCCGACGCGGATGATGGCATCGTCTTCGGCGACCTGCATAGGCGAGCTGTTAACGAGCCCTGGTACAAGGGCGCGATCTTCCAGAACGAGCTGGACTCGGACAGCATCTACTTATCCGGTGAGAATTGTATCGATTGGTTCGCAGGATGATGATAGTTTTGTCGATTCTGACTTCTGACCGTTTGCATGAGGAAAAGGAAAAAAAAGAAACAATTATTTGTGGAATAATCGCGTAAAAATATGAGACATAATTATCACATTGACTATCGCATTGATTTCCATATTTCCATATTTATCGTATGAAAGTTCAACCTTTGAACCAAAAACACCAAAGAATTACCAAAGATAATTCGGTAAATTCGTTGGATTTTTCAAATGCAATTATCACTAAATCTTCATACGTAACTGAATGAGAGGCGAGATAGCTTGTCAGTCATCGACAATAATCGTCATAATAATCAACATGCTAATCGAGAAGCTCGAGTAAGAGACACGACAGATATCGAAAGAAGAAAATTTCTCTCGTAGTTCCGTGGGAAGCGGGCGCGGACGCGATAGTGACGGCTTCCATGAGCTTGTCACCCAAAGATGGTGGTAAAAAAGCACCGGCCGCCGTCGTGGGCTTCCAGATGCCGATGACGGGTCTGTACAGGAGATTCATCGCTCTTACTTCGGTGACGACAAATCCGCTGATGAATTGTTCCCATAATTGGATCGATTGCTACTTATTGGATCAGAACGGTTATGTGGTGATATCGGAGGCGCACAATGACACCGGCCAATTCATGGGAACCCAGGAAGGTGCCGTCATGAAATCCATGGTCGGTCAAGGTCTTTATAACTCTGTTGAGATCTACGACTATCAAGCTTGGTGCCAGGAGATCGTAAGTACTACGACGCGCATTGGAAGTTGATTTGGGCGTCGAGAATGCGCTGACACGCTTGGTTAAGAAAATTACTCGTACACAGAAGAATTCAGTAAATAGATAGCTAAGTGAGATTGAATTGGAATTTTCCACAAATAAGATTGAAATTTAACATACTCGTACAATGTGTCCCCAGAATAATAATTATATCATGACGAACAATTCTGCTTATCGCGAAAAGTCGCTGCTGAGAAACATTCAATTGGATGTCGTTACTTGTTGATCTCGAAATATTGAATATTTTCTTGATAATAACGTAAACACATACACACCGATACCATACGTATCACGATGCTGAGCTAATCGAGCCGTCCGTGTATGTGTACGTTGTGCGAACGCTCGGTCGGTCGGCGAGCTATTTCCAAGACACTTCGCGACCCATTTATCTAATGGCTCTTTCACCTTCGCCTCGCTCGATTCCATAAAAGAACGAAAATACGATCACAGCAGGTGTGCAAAAATTGTTTCAGCGAGTTGGCAATTCCGCCAGCAGTTTGATGGTGCCGCTGCGTTACATCTGGGAGCTGTTAATCTGGCTTATGTTGCGCCTGGCATGGTTTTCCACTCAGTTCGTGAACCTTCCTGGCATCCATGGCAAGGTCCATAGCGACGAAGATGCACCTGATCCACCGCCACCGCCGAAACTTTACCTCCATCATTTTCCGTGCGATCAGAAGAGGACTCTCTACATGTTGAACGAGACCGTCGCTGCTCGAGGCGTCACCAATCACTCCGACTACTGCTCAAGACCATACTACGCTCAAAGAGTAAGTAATCTTTAAGGCATCGCAACACCGCTGTTTTTGAGGATTTCGTGACGATGTTGTGTGGCCCATCCGCGATTAATGACTTTTTTATTTAATTCGTCGTGATTCTACGTTGATTCTCCGTCGTCACGTGTTATGTGTGATTATTTTAAAGCTGAATAAAATAATATAAGATATAAAATAATATAAGATATAATAAAGACATAAGTCAGAGAGATGCGACATATACAACTGTTAGCTTGTTTCGTTACGTCGATTATATAAATTTATAATGAGATGATGTCGCAATGGCGCCAATGGCGCGTTAACTCGTGAATATATTGAGAGAAAAAGATGATATATATGTAGTCGGTTTAAGCGAACATCGACTTCAGCTAAATCGCTTAATGATTTAGTGAAGTGAAACATTTGCGACGCAAAGTGAAGTGGTCACCTCGCTGTTCTGATTATTGTTCTTAATGATTGACTACAATCTACAGGTAGCGCATACGAATTTGCTGCTAGTCGTCGTGGACAGCATGTACTCAACGTGCTACAGGAGACTGGAAGTAACGCCTGTCAACATTGAGCCTGCCGAGTACACAAATGACACGATTGAGAAACCCTGCCACAAAATTCCGCTGAACACCCTGAAGAGGCGCCGACTGGAAAACTGCTTCACGGAACACTCTCTAGAATATGAGATTGACGACTGCGGAAGTGCGTCTGGATTGACAGTGTCCTTGATGTTGCTTTGCCTTGTTTTCGTTAGGATCTTATACGCCTTTCTATGACGATCGTTTGGTATCAATAGGTGTATGATTATATATGTTTTGCAATAAAACAAACCTACAGCGATGTACTCTTTTTACGACTGCGTAATCTGATTAATGAATAATGAACAAGTACATGATTCTCTTGATGTTATACTTGAGCGAACACAAAGATTTCCATCAAAATTGGTGCTTTTCTTCAATCGTGACTTAACGTCTTGATAATTAAATTACCTTCTCCAATGAAAAAGAAAATGAAAATGAGTTAACTTGATCCGTTCTATAAGTAATTCAAACAAGTAGAGACAAATAGATGGTTGTTCGATATATTAACGAGTAAATGACCTTCTAAAACGAACGTCGAATCAATTTCTTTAAATCCACTACTATGTATATGTAACTATTTGTATTATATATTATATTATAGGATTATTTTTTAGGAGCTATGAAAGAAAGATAATTCCAAATTGACAGCAACACTTTATGCAATAACACTTGTCGAAAAGTCACACGGTGAAAGTATCACTCGCATCACCCTGGGACAGCATCCTTTGATGATTATCTTGTTTTTTCGAGCCGTATGTATCGAACGTACATCGAAAGACAAACAGTCCTATTAATCGCGATATAACTGTCGCGGTGTCGCTGATCGCGCGCCATCCTGGCGTCCTAGTGCGCAAGCCTGCTTGGAAAATCGATAAGCTTGTAAACGTGTACATGCTCCGAGTCGACATTGTTGAGCGAGTGCGCACGACGACGACCGCGACGACGTCGACGACGACGACGACGACGACGACGACGACGACGACGACAGCGGCAGCGACGACGACGACGACGACGACAACGAGGACGACGACGACGACGACGACAACGAAGACGACGACGACGACGAGGACGACAACGAGGACGACGACGACGACGACGACGACGA